GAAAATGGAGTATAGCACATGGCTAACTGTAATATACACTCGTACTGCACCATAAAACTGAAACAAAAAAGCTATTTTCTCTACATAGATTATCATACATAGCAGCATATGTGTAGAGAACCTAGGATAACCCCCAAAAAAGACAAAGTGGCTCATTTCTAATACCTGGCTTGGGCTAGCCATATATGATTTTTGGTATTTGAGCATGGGGCTCAACCACAGCAAATCACCTTAAACCTTTAACCCTTTCAGGGTTTTGGCCGTACTAGTACGGCTTACACACCAGGGTTTTTGACGTACTAGTACGCCTAAATTCTAGCGCCCTCAAATCTAGTGAGAGAAAGCTGGTAGGCCTACATATGAAAGAATGGGTCTATGTGGTCAGTGTGCGCAGTATAAAAAAAATCCTGCAGCACACAGTGCGTAATGAGAAAAAAAAAGTTTGACCGTGTTTTTGGATTAAAACAGCGACTTTGCACTGTATTTTCGTATGGTATTTATTGTTGTATTCTAGTTTTCCTGGTCTCATTTTATAGAATGGAAGACATATTACAGAAATTGAGTTGATTTTGACTGGTTTTACAAAGAAAAGTACCTTGAAATTGAGCTCAAAGTAGCAGAAATGTTCGATTTTTACCAAAGTTCAAAAGTAAACAAATCATGCTATGCGTCCAATACACGTCAACTGGTGAGTCTAATATTCTTTCACAAATGCGTTGATATTATTTATACCATTTCTACACTAATGCAGTAGTCTGCATAACAGTAAATCTTCTATCTTTTTGTGAGAATAAAAATTCAAAGTGGAAAGCAAAAGAATGTAAGAGGGGCGTGGGGACGTAACTAATGAACAGAGGAAATGTTATTTTAGTGCCAGGAATGTCTTTCTTGTTTATTCTGGACCCTATTCGGAATTGGCATCTTTTGAAATTTGTGTGAAATTGGCAAAATTGCTAAATTCTGACCACTGTATTGGATAGTTGAAATTGGTAAATGGGTGGTTTCTTGTACTCATTCTATAGAAAAAATGGAGTTCTAGTGAAATAGATATGATTTCTGTCGACTAGTACACAGGAAATGGCCGAAAATAGGGCTCAAAGTTGGCGAAATCGCCGATGCATAAACATAGTTGAGACAGCTAACTTCGCGAGAGTATAATTCCGTAAGTGTTCCATCAAATTTCATACTTTTGGTGTCATTATGATCAGGAAAAGATTCTCTATCTTTTCACACGAAAAAATTATTATTATTTTTTTTTAAATTTGGCCAACCCTGAGAACAAGTCTCTGAGAGGGCCTGTCGACCCTGAAAGGGTTAATACCCCAACAAAAAGCTGTAGTGTGATTGATTACAAACTATATAGCATACTTCTCCAGTTTTCAAGGGTCTTAACTTAATATACAAAACATCCACACTTATTACTGTGCCTACTACATGCACAGAACACTACACTCAAATATAAACCCTCCTCTCAAACTCCTACTTGATAACTACAACAGAACACACAACCATAATACAAGACAAATCAAATCACTCTTTGATATCCCTTTTATGTGCATAGCAAAAATGCTATGCACATAAAGGGCCCAAAGATCTGGAATTCATTACCAGAACACACTAAAGGACTCCTGCCTGCAAATCAATTTAAGGCCCTACTTAGAAATCTCATCACCCAAAATTAAACAGACAAACCATACTTAATACCTACCAGTTACTCAAAAGCTATACAAAAAAGTACTAATGATGTCTCAATTTTAATACTGATTATTGTGCTGAAGATTGCTCAACCATGTACTCATTACTTCAAAATTACGATATTCAAATTTCACAGTTTTGAATACTAAATTGTAATACTCCATACTGTAAATTGTTTAAACTGTTCTATTGTAATACTTCAAAATTATAATGTTCAAATTTCATCATTTTAAATACTCAACTGTAATACTTCATATTGTAAATTGCTTAAATTGTTCTATTGTAGTACTGTAATTTTTATAAAATAATTCAAACCTGCAATTATTCTCTACTAAACTTTTATATTAGACTTATTAAATCCATACATCATTACCTATTAATACTTAATTCTCTTGTACTCACTGCACTTGTCTAATGACCATTTAATGTTATAGCCTTATTAATCTTAAGTTAATTTTAAGTTTGCCCAAAATGCTCTGCATTCAAGGGGCTTCTGGCATATATGTACACTCAACTATTATACTCCTTTGTACAACCATGTATCATGTCAAAATAAATTTATTATTATTGTTATGACAAGTCATTAAAACTACTTGCCTCAATTCACTCCTATCTAATATGCTCACACATACTTGTAGAATGTCCAAGCCCCTCACACACAAAAGCCTCTTTTACCCCCTTCCCTCCAAGCTTTCCTGGGGCAACCCCTACCTCTCCTTCCCTCCACTACAGATTTATCCACCCTCCTTATCCTATTTTGCTCCATCCTCTCCAAATAACCAAACCACCTCAACAATCCCTTCACAGTCCTCTGGATGATAATTTTAGCAACTCTGTACTTCCTAATCTCCAAACTACAAGATTATGCAGATTTAACTAAGGCTAACCAAATAATCAAGAAGACAAGGATTAATTAACTAAGGTTTAATATGTTTACATCGTAATTACATTGGTTTATATGAGGAATTTACCATAGTGCAGTTTACAAATAAACAAAGTATATATTTTTATTATTAAAATTATATGTAATAAGGAGCAATATAATAATAACTTTTACAAGCTGACATCACTGGCATGCTATATAAGACAGATCCTGGAAACATTTGAAGACTACTAAAATGTTTATAATTGTGACCATGATTTTTAAAGGGGTTGACCAGTAAACCAGCAGAAGGCCTAGGTCAGATGACCAAAAGCTCCAGCAGTGGGTCATCGAATGACTAAAACCCACATCAGGACATATTGTCCTGTTTCCTGGCAAGCCTTACCAAACCAAACCAACTAACATTTGTCCTGTTTCCTGACAAACCTAATAAATACCATACCTTCCTATATAATCTAAATCCCGGTCAACATTTAACTGAGAGCGACTGCCTTTATTACACAGCAGCAGAAGCCAGTACTTTCCTCAGCAATGCCAGAAATATTACAATTTTGAATTACAATATTAGATCTCTAAATAAACACTATGATGACCTGGCACTCATAGATTCATTAGAGACAACCTTCTCCTGTATTATTCTTACTGAAACCTGGCTTAGCAAGACACAATAAACATCTATACACTACCAGGATACACAACAAACCACAACTGCAGGCCAGAACAAATTGGGGGAGGTACTGCCATCTAATATTCTAATCAACTATCATGTAACAACATCATATCTTTCAATGAAGAATATGGTGAAAATATATTTGCAAACTTCTCTGTAAAAAATTTTTAAAATCCTATAACAATTGGGGCCATATACAACATGTCTCTCTCGTACTAATATCCCAGCCTTTAGTGATAAACTAACAGCACTGATTAGAGATACACAAATGAATAAGCACCACCTACTACTAGCAGGAGACTTCAACATCAACCTTGGCCTAAGAGACGACCAACTTGTAACTGACTTCATTAACAATATGAACAATACTACACTACTCATACCAGCAATTACAAAATGAACAAGACTAACTCAGGATAATCAAAGAAAGCCAAGCAACAGCCCATTTCCACTGGGGTCCTTTAAGATTTTGTCAGATTTTTAACCCTGAAGGGTTAGCCATGAAGGGTTAGCCACCCAGGACAAACTAAGAAAGTCAGAGCATTGAGGTATTGTTTGTCTTATTTCCATTTGGGTCCTCAATCTTGTTTCCTCCAGGATATGAACCCACCCACTGACTAACATGCAGGTACCTACTTGCTTGCTAGAGGAACAGGACAAAACATGTAAGGAAACATGCCCAATGTTTCCACTCACACCTGGAGTATACCTGGAGAGGGTTTCGGGGGTCAACACCCACCCACGGTCCAATCTGTGACCAGGCCTCGCAGTGGATCAGGGCCTGACCAACCAGGCTGTTACTACTGGCTGCACACAAACCAACGTATGAACCACAGCCCTGGTGGTAAGGCATTGACTTTAGGCGCCTGTCCAGTGCCTTCTTGAAGACATGCTGGGGATCAAACCACGGGGACACTGCATGAAGCGAGAGCGTTGCCTACCAGGCCATGGGCCAGGATGTGACCCACACCAGTCGGTTAACACCCGGGTACTATTTACTGCTAGGTAAACATGGGTAATAGGTGCAAGGAAATGATATCAAAAATTTCCAGTTATTCCAGTAACAAACCCAGGCCCTTAATATAATAATACATGTACAAGGTATACAGACCTAGCTGACATCAATGACATACTACTATACAGAAAGCCATTTGTTATGCAGAGAAACTCAGGCAAATAGGTCAGTTTTGTCCAAGGATGCGATCCACACCAGTCAACTAACATCCAGATACCCATTATTACAGATGGGTGAACATGGACAACCAGTGTAAGGAAACATGCCCAATGCTTCTACCCTTGCCGGGAATCAAACCCGGACACTCACAGTGTAAACCGAGAGCTTTTGCCACTAGGCCACGTGCTACCGTTGCGAGCCAACAGAATTACCACATAATCCATTTCAACAATGACTGCATTAGGCTTAATTTTTATAGGCCTCCAATGGTAACAAATTATGAAGATTTAACCAAAGGTAACTACCCAGAGAGCAAGAGTGACATATCCACCAGCAGCAGACACCAGTAGTAAATCAATACTATGAGACAAGTTTTACACACTATGTTTGATAAGCTTGGTTTATAATGCAATGTTATATAATGTAATGCAATATTAAGTTAGGATGATAACATCAATAACGAGAGCAGCAGCAGCCACTTGCTAAAATTAGCTGCTTACAACACCCTCTGACCTTTTGTTAACACGCTCCTCCTCACCTCGTAATTAACACTGTTAACACACCGGTATACAACTTACCCTCACTCATGACTGAAAGAGTAAAGAGTGCCAGTTATGAAGGATCAACGTCAGGATTCACGTGCCCAGTTAATTATTCACTCTTGCAGTAGCAAGTGTCTGCAATATTTCAGGTCACACAGTCCCTCAGAGCTCCTTGCCACCTGCCGCCGCCGCTGGAGGCTGCATCTTCAACTCTCACACTCCCTTTGTGTAAGCCCGAGGCTCCTCTACATCGACTCGGAGATTTTAAGGACCTGGGGGTGTGTTAAATCCACCGAACTGGGTCATATTTGCGGTCAACTTTCCCTGTGAAGCAGCGCCATGTTTGTTATGGTACGAGGACGCTGTCTGGCCGCAGCTCTGTCCACCCTCCACCACAACCACCTCTATACTCCACCTCCTTCCTTAATACTTCACTCTTCCTTCCCCATAACTACCCTTATATAACCCTTAAGCACTCCTCAAAAATATTTAACTTTAGTCACTCTACTTTCAAAACAGCGTTGTTTTTTTTTATATGTATTGCGCTGGTTGCTAATATTTATATATTAAAGTGACTAAAGACTAGTAGATGTATGAGGTGAACGATACATTATGGGAGTGATCAGTTCTCTTAAGCGACGAGCGCCCCACCCCTCTCGGCATCTTAGAAAACGGGAACCGATCAATAATCTATGTCACTTGTACATTATAATTCTACACCTGAACACCACTTTCAGCCTATAATACATATATAATTATTACATGTACTCTTATCTATCTATAATGATTGACTCTTAATCAAATCCGTCAGGTTATTCTAGGCTAAACATCAATAATTAATCACCAGTATAGGTCTACTCTAGGTCTATAATAATCCTGTTTACAATATTAAACCTATTTAAAGTAGGTCTACTAAAAAAATCTAAATTTAATGAGACTAAAGCTTGCGTACTCTCAAGGTGACTATGAGGCACAACATACCTGCACTGAGAATGTTAAATAAAGGAGATATACCTCCCAGGCCTACACTACACTACACCATACATTCACACGGACCAAAATCATTATTTCCCTCACTTGTATATAGACTCTTGTCCACTACAATGATTTTATGCTTAAACGAAGGGGAATTAATTGTGAAAAAAAGAAACACATCATTTTAAGTAACTGAGAACTATGGAGAAGAAAAATTAAGAATAAGTTTGGTGTAGAAAAAATATTTAAGTGGCTAGTGTATTTATTCTGATTAACTAAGGTTTAATCTGTTTACGTACTAATTACATTGGTTTCTATGAAGAATTTACCATAGTGCAGTTTACAAATAAACAAGTTACATATTTTTATTATTAAAATTATTATTATTTTATTATTAAAGATTAGCCGGTATTCTCCCGGCCCGGGCCTTTTCCAAGTGGTGGCCCGGCCTTGGCTCCTTCTTTAGGGAGTGTCTGAGACCTAAGTCTCCCATGGGAGGAGGCACAAGTACCTCCTCATCTTTGGGACCAACTGTCCCCAGGCCTAGCCACAAGCTAGGCCTCTCTGGCCTGCCATCTCCGCCCCAAGGGGGCAAATGGGAATGACAGTCTTATGAGCTAAAGGCTCGGGCTCAGGCACCTACCCTACCCTAGAAGGGTTAGGCATGGTATCGATCATTATTAAAATGATATGTAATAAGGGGCAATATAATAATAATTTTTACAAGCTGACATCACTGGCATACTATATAAGACAGAACCTACAAACATTTGAAGACTACTAAAATGGTTATAATTGTGATCATGATTTTTAAAGGGGTTGACCGGTAAGCCAGTGGAAGGCCTCGGTCAGATGACCAAAAGCTCCAGCTGTGGGTCATCACATGACTAAGACCCGCGGCACTGGAAAACCTCATGTACCAACACGTACGGGACACTACCAGAGAGAGAGGACCTGGAGTTTACCTGGAGAGAGTTCCGGGGGTCAACGCCCCCGCGGCCCGGTCTGTGACCAGGCCTCCTGGTGGATCAGAGCCTGATCAACCAGGCTGTTGCTGCTGGCTGCACGCAAACCAACGTACGAGCCACAGCCCGGCTGATCAGGAACTGACTTTAGGTGCTTGTCCAGTGCCAGCTTGAAGACTGCCAGGGGTCTGTTGGTAATCCCCCTTATGTGTGCTGGGAGGCAGTTGAACAGTCTCGGGCCCCTGACACTTATTGTATGGTCTCTTAACGTGCTAGTGACACCCCTGCTTTTCATTGGGGGGATGGTGCATCGTCTGCCAAGTCTTTTGCTTTCGTAGTGAGTGATTTTCGTGTGCAAGTTCGGTACTAGTCCCTCTAGGATTTTCTAGGTGTATATAATCATGTATCTCTCCCTCCTGCGAACTTTTCTGTACTCGACTGAAGAAGCCTACTGTGTAGGCGAAACGTTTCGTAATAAAGATACCTAACTGTTGCATATGTGTCTTACCTAACAACTAGCATCACTACATCAAGGCACCAGCCTCACTACATCAAAGCACCAACATCACTGTATCAAGACACCAGCATCACTACATCAAGGCACTAGCATCACTACATCATGGCACCAGCCTCACTATATCAAGGCACCAGCATCACTATATCAAGGCACTAGCATCACTACATCAAGGCACCAGCCTCACTACATCAAGGCATCAACATCACTGTATCAAGACACCAGCATCACTACATCAAGGCACCAGCATCACTGCACCAAGGCACCAGCATCACTGCATCAAGGCACCAGCATCACTACATCAAGGCACCAGCATCACTACATCAAGGCACCAGCATCACTGCATCAAGACACCAGCATCACTGCATCAAGGCACCAGCATCACTGTATCAAGACACCAGCATCACTACATCAAGGCACTAGCATCACTACATCAAGGCACCATCATCACTGCATCAAGGCACTAGCATCACTACATCAAGGCACCAGCCTCACTACATCAAGGCACCAGCATCACTGTATCAAGACACCAGCATCATTGCATCAAGGCACCAACATCACTGTATCAAGACACCAGTATCACTGCATCAAGGCACCAGCATCACTGCATCAAAGCACCAGCATCACTGTATCAAGACACCAGTATCACTGCATCAAGGCACCAGCATCACTGTATCAAGGCACCAGCATCACTGCATCAAGGCACCAACATCACTGCATCAAGGCACCAGCATCACTGCATCAAGGCACCAGCATCACTGTATCAAGGCACCAGCATCTCTGCATCAAGGCACCAACATCACTGCATCAAGGCACCAGCATCACAGCATCAAGGCACCAGCATCACTGCATCTAGGCACCAGTATCACTGCATCAAGGCACCAGCATCACTGCATCAAGGCACCAGCATCACTGCATTAAGGCACCAGCATCACTGCATCAAGGCACCAGCATCACTGCATCAAGGCACCAACATCACTGCATCAAGGCACCAGCATCACTGCATCAAGGCACCAACATCACTGCATCAAGGCACAACATCACTGCATCAAGGCACCAGCATCACTGCATCAAGGCGCCATCATCACTGCTTCAAGGCACCAGCATCACTGCATCAAGACACCAGCATCACTGCATCAAGGCACCAGCATCACTGCATCAAGGCACCAGCATCACTGCATCAAGGCACCAGCATCACTGCATCAAGGCACCAGCATCACTGCATCGAGGCACCACATCACTGCATCAAGGCACCAGCATCACTGCATCAAGGCACCAACATCACTGCATCAAGGCAAAAACATCACTGCATCAAGGCACCAGCATCACTGCATCAAGGCACCAGCATCACTGCATCGAGGCACCATCACTGCATCAAGGCACCAGCATCACTGCATCAAGGAGCCTGGCTAGAAGAGAGGTGGTTTTAGTTTAATATGTTTATTATGCACCTCATACCCATCCTGAGAGAGGTGGTTTTCCAAGTGTTTTCTAGCCTAAAAGACTGCCACAGGAAGTTAATATTCAGTAAATGTATTATGAACGTGTATCAAGATAACGCAATGATTCTCTGGTGGAACGGCCTTTTATATATCCACACTTCTGAAGGGGCAAGTTGAGTGGTTAATTGGGTTTAAAGCCTATCGATGATACAAAGTCATCACGGCTGCAACTATCAAAACTTTGGGGCCCAGTCCCTGGACCCATTATGTACCTCTGTAATATGTAAACACCTTCGTAACTTGTCATGATTGTGGCCAGATCTACCTGGAGATCATTACCTTTGTAACTTGCTCAGCTATCAAAATTTTGGGGGTTTGATCCCTGGACCCATTATGTACCTCTGTAATATTTTGACTACCGTCCACAGGATGGGTATGGGGTGCATAATAAAGATATTAAACTAACTGCATGTCACCTGTTGTTCACCACCAGTTAAGAATTAAAGTAAACTGCAATTGTATACTGTATATTTTGATATAGTTCTCGATGTGTACATACATTGTTGGTGCTAGGGAGGATAGAAGTAAGACAGGGAAACATGCACCAACAGGGAATACAGTCACAGAAACCCAAGGCAAGCGGAAACCAAGCCTGTGCACATACTATGCACTTGGTATCTGCTGGCATGGGAAATCTGGAAAAACAGATGGGACATGCAACTATGACCACCCTAGAAAATGCCATGCCCATATGACAACAGGAAAATGCAAACTCCCTTCCTGTAAGCTTTTTCACCCTGAAATGTGTACATCTTCAGTACAGGAAAGACTGTGCTATAACTTAAATTGCCAGGCATACCATCTAAAGGGGACAAAAAGATACAAAACATCCAGGCCATGGGAAAACCTGGGTAGCCACAGCCACTCAAGAGGGAGAGGTTTTTTAGTGCCAGGAAGGAAAAAAAACTGGCAGGAAATGGCAGAAATCGTACACCAAATCCAGTCATTCCTGGAGTGGAACCACAGTCGATGGCCTCCACTCCAAACCAACAGATACAGATACTAATGCCGGAAAAAAAATCCCCCCCCAGTACCAACAATACCACCAGTCCGATAACATTCTTCTTTGCAAATATACAGGGTCTAAAGCCAGCAACAAACAACAAAATACCTTTCATCCGTGGACTGCTTGCAGAGGCAAAGGCAATGTTCGCGGCTTTCACTGAGACCCACATAAAGGATCACTTGGACAACGAAATATGGATCCCAGGTTACAACCTATACAGATGTGACAGAGTGAACAGGCAAAAGGGGGGGGGGGTTGGCCTGTACATTGCAGAGTCACTTGTTTGCACAGAACTGCTTAATGCCTCAAATGATGTAGTGGAAGTTTTAGCAGTAAAGGTCGAGAACCAAAACCTAGTCATTGTGGTAGTCTACAAGCCTCCGGATGCAACATCCCAGCAATTCCAGGAACAGCTGTTAAAAATTGACCACTGTC